TTATAAGATATTATTGGGTTTATGGCCGAAAATAAGAGCGAGGATATTCAACTGATAAAACAACAATTCTAATCATTACAAGTAACAACGGTATATCTAATGAGCTATTTTTATTACTAGATGGATTTTTAAATCTAATCAATGTAGATTGCTTGTTTTGATCAGAAGTTAGTATTAATTAATTATAATTTATACAAGCTTTACTTTAAAGCCTTGCAGACTGTAATTGAAAGCCTTGAAATATGCTTTAATGTTTTCCTGACGTATATTGTAAGTCAGTTTCATTTTTAGTTATTCATCATTTTGAAGACTGTGGCTTTTAAACAGCCTTATTAACACTTCTCTGTCTTGGAATGTCCTTATAGTAGCTTTAAGTTTCTCGTATCATTTGCATGGTTATCTACATCATTAAATTTCCATTGCTTATTTTGAAAAGAGAGCTTAATTAGCATTGTAGATAGAAAGAGCGAGAGAAAAATAAAAAATAAAAGGCTAAGTCTACTGGAGAAAACTTCCTTGGACAATGTTTTAGCTCAAATCAAGAGAAACGAGAGAATGAGTTCACTAAATGAAACATAAAGTGAAGTATGAATCAAGTACAGTATAATTAAAAGATAATTATGAAGTAATTGATGTAGGCACGTTGTGTTCCTCTTCGAAATATGTTTATAAATTCACGAAATTCCAGTTTATTTGTATCGTACAATAAGAAGACATAATTATCATTTTCTTTTTAAAAAAATACGTATATCTGGATAGTACAATTCGACCAACACAAAAACGTATTTTAATCACTGTTTTGTATCTTTTTTCTCATAAAGTCTGACATATATCTTGAGAGAACAACAAAACACTAGACAAATATTGAAGTGTACCAAGATGCAAAAATATTGAAATATATCAGAATAATCACAATTATGATCCATTTATTTATATATAAACCGTAGAATTGAAACTTTACCTTTTATCCTATAAATAACAATAGACAAACCAATATACAAAACGTTCCTTACAATACATTTCCTTCCTATAGTAGAGCATCGCTTACGTTCTGACGGACATGTTGTGTAAAATAAATTACTACGAATTAATGAACTTCCATTACAAAGATCAATGGAAATAGTATGGGTTTGTTTGCAGCTACTTAAAGTTATAATTACGTGAAAAATATCTTATAGAATTCATATTTGATTTATTCCTTTTAGTTTTCGTTTTGTCAGAGAGCCACATAATTTCTCTTTTAAAATTATTCAATTTATGATATAGCATATTTTGGCAGTCTATTAATTTGAAATACATAAAACATACATATCCCATGATAACTACTCTATAGTCAAGAACAGAAATTCACAGTTTGATTTTCCAATGGGTAAAGGTAATTTACAGTTTGGTTTTGAGGAGAGTATAAGTAATTCAGAGTTTGATTTTGAGGCATATAGAGGTAATTCAGAGTTTGATTTAAAGGCGGATAAAAGTAATTTACAATTTGATTTTGAGAAGAATAAAGATAATTCATAGCTCGGTTTTAAAATGAATAAAGGCATGTTTGAAACGGATACTTGCTTTTGCTTTATATGAAAGGCAGTAGAATTATCTGCATGGAAGAAAATAGTGTGAGAGCAGTTAATTGGAATCAGTTATGTATTTGGGTGTGTGTGTACAATACCTGTGTGTGCTTTGATAACAGAAGGTAACATTCATGTTCTCAAAATGGTGGAGCCATGATTTTCTTTACCTAGTAATTGCTTTGTGCATGGTGTTTAATTAGAGCAGGAAATCCATTACTAAGAGTGGTAAGAAAACAAAAGTCACTCTTCCTTCTACACGGATCATTAGCTAATTTATCATACCCAGGTAAACACTGCTTACCACATTCACGCTTTCTTTTGTACTTTTAAAGTACAAGATATTGTATCATGTTGACACAGTGTACCTGGTATACCGGTTAGCAATTCAGTGTCTTTACTCAATAGAATGATACCGGAATTCCTTGTAAGGAAAGTGTTACAGATAATAACAGAACACGTTAGACTCATCGTCTTCTATTATTCTTCACTAAGCAAACAAACAACCTGCTAAGTAGATGCACGAATATATTTCATCATATGAAATTAGATCACTAGCCCCACTAAAAACAAGTTGTACGACAGGAAATAAACCAATCTACTTTTAAACATCTCTAAAATGTCAGAATATCAAGGTAACTAATCCCTAACGTAAAAATCTATACATGCAAAGATAAAAGCTGCACAGTCTACTTAATTAGTTTGAAGATAAGTGTTTAAACCCCTTTTTTCCTATTTCGTGTAGCTACTCACATTTTCTGCTTATCGAGGTTTTATAAGCCATTTTGCATCATTAAAGATCCCACACACACACTCCCGCTGAACCAATCCTGTCGAATGACACAAAAAAAACCAAAGGTAATTTCGAGGATCTAGTAGTCATCCCAGTAACTTTTTTAGCTGCCATTGAAATGCAATAGTGCTTGAAAGACATCTTCCGTCATGCATATACATTCAATCTCTGACCTTAGCGACATACCCACTAATACATAGCTTACAACCCTAACCCTAGCGACATGCCCACTAATTTATAGCTTACAACCCTAACTTTAGCGACATGCCCACCAATAAATGGCTTACAACTCTAACCTTAGCCACATGTCCATCAGTAGATGGATTACAACCCTAACCTTAGCGATATGCCCACTAATACGTGGCTTACAACCTCAACCTTAGCGACATACCCACCAATAGATGGCTTACAATCTATTGATTTATTTACTGTATTATTTGGGATATCAAACATAAAGTAATCATGAATTAACATTAGTTTTGCTATAGTGCAGTCAATAATTTGCATACGTTGCACTATAATTATTAATAACGAAGAATGCGAGTATAAGTTTATTGCAAATACTTGTGTCCGTGTACGCCAATGTATTTCCTCTGGAAGTTTTGGAAAATTTGAATTGTTTAAGTAATAACGTGACTTCCATTCTCATGCTAATCTTCTATTTTATAAAACGTCAACATATTTTTCTAATATCTCGGGTCTTCGGATGCAATAGCTTCCTGCATCAAGAAAACGTCCGGAATTTTCGCTGGGTAGACTTACGTTTCATATTTCAGTTATTTAGTGTTCTATTCCATATTTAGAACCCATTCTGTGTGTTCTAGCAAAAACATTTTAGTATACGCGCCATTAAACATTGGATTTAGTGAAATTCAGCACGACTGACTTAGCTCTAACTTACTATAAGAGCAGCTGCATTTACTAGGTAAATTTTCAATCTGTCGCAGAAATACTTGCTTAGTTGAATAAGCTGAAACTTTAATGACAAGCTAGATTATAAAATATTCTTTTAACGTTACGGTTTAATTTGCATACTTTGTTTTATGTAGTTCAAAGACTTCGTGTTTACTCGTTTGAATACAGAACGTTTAGAGTTTAAATAAACCATAGAAAGTTGAATAGCTTAAGTAGTTCTAAAGTTTAAACAATTTTAACAAATCACTGAAATTAATGTAACGGACTTCAGTAACAGTTTTTTATCTAATTTATTTTGAACTTCTGAACGAAAGAGAGGGAGTGTAAATGACTATAGGTTTCAGATGCATGATTCTAGTGGCTGAGTTTGTGTCCTAGCTAATCTTTCTATGGTCCTAAGACTGTGGTCGGGGACACGTAATACTCTATAAACTTCCCATACTGTTCCGTATATCCAAATTATGTTATCTCCATTTAACACAAGTTAACCTCAAAAAGTATTCACATGTCAAGAAAAAAATAGTTTTGTGTTTAAGTGCAAAGCTACACAGGCCCGGCATGGCCAGGTGGTTAGGGCGTTCGACTCGCAATCTGCAGGTCGCAGGTTCGAATCCTCGTCACACCAAACAAGCTCGCTCTTTCAGCCGTGGGAGCGTTATAATGTGACGGTCAATTTGAAGAAGATCAAATATTTTTATAATGGAATGATATTTAATATCTGCTCCTACCGAGAAAATATCTTAACAAACACCATCAATATTTAATAACAATATTTAATAACAAAATTTAATAAATCAATATCTAATAACAAAATACTTATCTCTAACATTTTTATGAACTTTTCTGATTAAAATCATTATTTCTCTGGTGCTTTAGAAAAATAGTGAATTTTTCAATAGTCTAAATCAAATGAATTCCCTTATATCTCTCGTCCCACCAAACATACTTGCTCTTTCAGCCGTGGGAGCGTTATAATGTGACGGTCAATCCCACTATTCGTTGGTAAAAGAGTAGCCCAAGAGTTGGCGGTGGGTGTTGATGACTAGCTGCCTTCCCTATAGTCTTAAACTGCTAAATTAGGGACGGCTAGCGCAGATAGCCCTCGTGTAGCTTTGCGCTAAATTCATAACAAACAAACAAGCAAAGCTACACAATGGTCTGTCTTCACTGTTCCCCAATTGGGATCGAACTGGAAAGTTTGGCCTTATAAGCCCTTAAATTTGCCGCTGAGCCAATATACCAAAAACTAGATGAAAAACAATTTTCTACGAGTTCTTTAATCACCATTTATAATTTTATAAAACTATTACAGGTTACGATTTACCCTTAAACTTTTTGACCTCGCTTAATCATTTAAATCCTAAGTTGTACCAAACAAGACTTTATTGTATACAATATTGTCGTGAAAACTAAGTAGAGTATGTGTAATTTGAGTAACGAAAGAAATAAAGGATGAAAGGATCGTGAGGTAATTGTACTAGAAGACCGATTTGTTGAAAAATGGTTTTCGTTCGAAAATCCTATAGGATCAGCATTAGAAGACTATTTGAAAACTTTTTAATCCTGTGTGTTTGTGTAGAATTTTATTTTTGGTGGATGTGAAAACAATAAGTCTGTGTTCTAGAGAATACGAATTTTTCAGATGTGATAAGATACATAGTTTATAATTATCGTCTTCTAGCTCTAGATATAAGACGAAAATTAATTTATTCTCTATTTACTTGCAGGATTGCGTCATGAGACATGACATGTCCAGTAATCTCGAACAAGGGCTTTCTGGCCACGGTGATTAACATCGTATTTATTTTGATCATCCTGTGTCGATCACAATTATCCTCGAATGAATGTCCATCATGGACAGATAGTCCATGGTGTTCATGTTACCAGTTTGAAGATGGACTATTTCTAGAGTGTCCTAACACAGGACTCCCTCAGATCCAGAAAACCCTCTCTCTGATCACGTCTTCTGTAAAATCCCTCAGCATTTATCACTTGGATTCAAACATTACCGAATTACCCTCGGGTCTTTTTGGCAACACAACAATTTTCCATTTTCAACTTTCCTTTTCTCAGATCAGTTCCATTGCAGAAGACGCATTCATCGAAATTCAGGACACACTCGAGAGTTTGTCCATCGTTAACAGTCAAATTTCAGAGATTCCCCAAAAGGCTCTAAACAAACTACGTGTCTTGCGAACGTTAGATCTCGACTCTAATGTCATCACAGAAATCGAAAGTTACACGTTCTACAGTCTACAATTAATGACCCTCAACCTTCAAGGGAACCAGATATCGTCTTTATCGGAGTATGCATTTGGTGGGTTAGAAAACACACTGGAGAAGCTTATTCTCATAAACAACAAACTACAACAGTTTCCTCTGAGCGCCCTACGAAGGCTTCGGAAACTTCATACTTTAAAATTAGTATGGAATGAAATCGGAGATATTCCAGACGACGGTTTCACCCGACTCACGGGATTGGAAAGACTTGATTTAAGTTCCAATCGAATCCATCACTTGCATGACCACAGCTTTATTACCATGCCACGCTTGACTACCCTTTCACTGTATATGAATCGGCTGACTTCTTTAGACGATACGATTTTCATTTACCTACAAGAGCTGGAAACAATAGATCTCAGCCACAATACCATCATGGCTCTCAATGGACGACTTTTCAGGCCTTTACAGAAGTTGAAAACGGTTGACCTAAGTTTCAATCACTTGCACTCTGTTGAACAAGGTATTTTCCAAAACCTGACACGGCTCCAAGAAATAATACTCTCAAACAATAACGTTATCCAAATTACCAACGAGACGTTTATGAACTCCACCCAAATTTCTGTTCTTTTTGCACCAAATAATGCGATCACATTTATTGAAAGTGGAGCTCTTTACGGGCTTAAAGATCTTTACCAGCTTCAATTGTCTTTTAATCTTCTCAATGATATTCACCCAACTCTTTTTAAGAATAACCACAAACTTCGGTCTCTCTCTCTGGACCATAACCTAATTATTGATCTACAGGCAGGAACATTTCAGGAACTTGTGGAGCTTCGTGATTTGAGACTTCAAAATAACCTTCTGAAAAGGATCGCAAAAGGAGTTTTTTATTCCCTTCCTAACTTGCAGGAATTACACTTGCAATTCAATAGGATAGAAGTAATCGAAGATGAGGCCCTACAAAGTTTAGCAAACCTTCAGCATTTAAATATTCAAGAAAATAAGATAATTGAAGTAGGCGATATTTTAAGTAGATATCCATCAAGTATGCATTCTCTCCTACTTAGTCATAACAAGATAACTACACTTCACCACAGCAGCTTACGAGGACTTAATAAAATGGGAATTTTATGGCTGAGTCACAACAAGATCAGGATGTTAGAGAAAGAGGTTTTCCAGGATTTGGTAGAGGTCCAAAAACTATATCTAGATCATAACGAGATCTCCACGATAGAAAGAAAGACCTTTGAACGACTAAGAAGACTGACATACGTCAATTTAGAGCACAACAACTTAAATCACTTGACTCCTGAGATGTTCCAGGGAGCAGATCATCTGGAAGAGTTGTATTTATCATTCAATCGCATTATGGATATTGAGCCTCAAACCTTCCAACAGTTAAAGAAACTTCGAATATTGCACCTTGCCCACAATCAAATGTATGCTATTCGAAAATTTATGTTTGAAGGGCAAATACCATTAGAAGAGATTGATTTATCTAATGTTATGGCTGAAGAGATTGAAGCTGGATCCTTCTTAGAACTTTCAGTACTTAAAACTTTAGATATTAGTAACAATAAATTAATGGGTGCCAACGTAAATTTTTTGTTTCTTCCTTCTCTCAGTCGTTTGGATATATCAGGAAACAATCTGAGTGGAATGACCAACAACGTTTTCTATGGATTATCAAAACTGGTGGACCTTGGAATAGAAAATGCTAATCTAAATCATGTTACTGGTAGTCTTTTTGAGCCACTAACCCACTTGGAGGTCATTCGGTTAGGTGGAAATGGCTTTTTTGATTTACAAGCTGACCAGACTTACAGTTTAAGCTTTGTTCGTGAACTATACCTGAATAACAATTACATACAAAGTGTCCCTTCTATTGCTATCGCATCTATACCAAATCTTCAAGTGCTGTCTTTTGCTAACAATAATATCGAAAAACTCAAGACCGCTAGTTTTATGGCCAATAGGAACATTCAAAAATTAAACTTAACCAACAACTCTATATCAGTTATCGAACCCAATGCATTTCGTAACCTAACTAATCTTCAAAAGCTTGATTTGTCAGATAACACCATTAGAAGTCTAACCCCTGATATTTTTAATGAATTGAAAACTCTGGAATGGTTAGCATTAGACGGGAACTTGATGTATTTTCTACCTAATGTTCTGTTTCGATCCTCATTAATTAGCCTGAAATTCCTCACTGTAAACAGAAATCCGTTAATAAGGATTCGAGAGGACCTCAGTGCAGATGGTGGGTTTCCTCAACTTCAGGATTTCAGTTTGAATCATGGAAACATATCAGTAATAGCGTCTCATGATTTCCATGGTATGCCAAACCTTTTATCTCTTTCCCTCACTCACAATAAAATCAACAAAGTTTCACCAGGTGCTTTCAAACCATTAAATCTGCTGCAAATATTAGACTTGGGAAATAATGAATTAGAAATATTACCAGAAGAAAGATTCTACGGCTTAGATCAATTGAAAACAATAAACTTAACCGAAAATCATCTTGTAGACTTACCACCATTTTCTTCGAACCTAGGTTGCTTGGAAACAGTTGACCTATCTTTCAACAGACTGACTCGACTTCAGGCTCACACCTTTCAACAGCTCTACAAATTGAAGATGTTGTCCCTGAGAAGTAACTCAATTAGTATAGTGGCGAAAGATGCGTTTTATAACCTCACATCTCTGCAAGAATTAGATCTCTTGGGTAATGCATTAACGGTTCTTTCCAGCGAGGTGTTAGTTCCGGTTGAAGTACGTCTAACGGATATCCAACTAGCTGGTAAGCTTCATTAAATGTTAATTCTTCTATCATTCTGACAGGTGAGTTTCGTGAGTAAGTAAGTAAGAATTTATAAACGTTATTATAACGTCCATACTACATGGTAAATTTTATTAAAGGGGTTTAATAGAAAAAATAAAATGTATACACAACAAGCCGAAAGGTATCATTACAATATCTCGTTTCGACTATGTTTAACATTTTTTCAACAAAACTTGTAACTGATATTTCAGAGTTTTTTAAGTGTAGTAAACTTAATTTTATACCTTTATAATACCTAATTCAAGACCCAAATAAATCTTTCATATGTTTTGGGTATTAAATTTTGAGCATATGATTTTAGTTTGATTTTAAATATATGGATTCGTTTTCAGTAATGTTTTTGTTGTTTTATTAAGTTTCTAGTAAGTTTCTACTTTTATTCCTATTTGTTCACATTACACTTGTTTTTATAATAATTTCTATTCCTGTTGGTTCACATTCCACTTGTTTTTGATAATAACTTTTATTCCTATTTGTTCACATTTCATTTGTTTTTATAATAATTTCTATTCCTATTGGTTCACATTCCACTTGTTTTTATAATAACTTTTATTCCTATTGGTTCACATTCCACTTATTTTATTATAACTTTTATTTCTATTTTTTCCCATTTCACTTGTATTTATAATAACTTTTATTCCTATTGGTTCACATTCCACTTATTTTATAATAACTTTTATTCCTATTGGTTCACATTCCACTTATTTTATTATAACTTTTATTCCTATTGGTTCACATTCCACTTATTTTATTATAACTTTTATTTCTATTTTTTTCCATTTCACTTGTATTTATAATAACTTTTATTCCTATTGGTTCACATTCCACTTGTTTTATAATAACTTTTATTCCTATTTGTTCACATTTCACTTGTTTTTATAATAATTTCTATTCCTATTGGTTCACATTCCACTTGTTTTATAATAATTTCCATTCCTATTGGTTCACATTCCCCTTGTTTTTATAATAATTTATATTCCTATTGGTTCACATTCCACTTGTTTTATAATAACTTTTATTTCTAGTTGTTCACATTCCACTTGTTTTATAATAACTTTTATTCCTATTGGTTCACATTCCACTTGTTTTATAATAACTTTTATTCCTATTGATTCACATTCCACTTGTTTCATTATAACTTTTATTCCTATTTGTTCATATTTCACTTGTATTTATAATGATTTTTATTCCTATTGGTTCACATTCCACTTGTTTTATAATAACTTTTATTCCTATTGGTTCACATTCCACTTGTTTTATAATAACTTTTATTCCTATTGGTTCACATTACACTTGTTTCATAATAACTTTTATTCCTATTTGTTCACATTCCTCTTGTTTTTTATAATAATTTCTATTCCTATTTGTTCACATTCTACTTGTTTTTATAATAACTTTTATTCCTAATGGTTTTCTTGACGTTTAAACTGTAACATGCTCTCATTCAATTTAGTTATAATCCATATTCAGTTAGGCCTCTGTTTTCAAGAAATGTAAAACTTAGGATGTAGCTGAATGTATAAAAACACAGGAAAAAAGCGAATTTCCTGCACTCAACAAATCTTACTCGAGATTTTGTTTTACGAAACTGTATTTTTTCATTTTATAATGTGTGACAGAAAACTTATTGCTTGTTTTCAATAAATCGTGAACTTCTTGAATTATGCTATATTCCATGAAAAGGTTCAAACATATTACTTTGTATTGTCAAATCGCCGGTACTTTTGTTAAATTTATTAATATATTTATTACAGCCGGAGAAGTAATCTCAACTTATAACTGACAGAAAAATCATTACATTGTACCATATATTTTAACTTTCTGATAAATGGTTCTCAGTGGAATGTAATAATATATATATATTTTGTACTCGGAAACAGGTAATCCATTTGATTGCAGATGTGGTTTGTTAAGCCTATGGGAGTGGCTACATGAGCATCAGCATATTGTAACACCAATAAGTGGGAATTTGAAATTAACATGTATGAATCCTAAAAAGCTTCATGGACAAGCACTTATAAATCTTCATCCTGTCGACATTTGTCCAGCTCCACTCATCTCGCTGTTTGAGGTTCAGCGTTTGGATCACGACAGCTTGACAGTCCGTTGGGATGTACAAAACGGTACACTGATTGGTGGGTTTTTGCTGACGTACCATTTGACATCAGACCGATTATCTCAAGCAAATGTTAATCTTGTCTCTGTAAAACGGTCTTATGAAGTTGAGAACTTGGAGCCCGAAACCTGGTACACGGTTTGTGTAACAGCTACAGGAAAGTACCTCAAGGTACTTCACACACCGACCCCGTACGCAGCAGACTTGGAAAACAAATACTTGGAAACAAACAGCAATAACAGGAAATGCTTGCAGATCCGAACGGTACCCAAAACTGATAAGACTAAGATTTCCCTGTCGACTTTAGGAATCATCTTAGGAAGCAGCATTAGCGGTATTTTAGTTCTGACACTATCCATTCTTTTAACGGCGATTAAGTTTCGGAAGCGCCGACGTCCCGTTAAGAACGACAACATTCCTCAAGAATATATTTCTTATCGACATTTCTCAATCCAAGAGCCAGAGGGCATTTACTCGTGACGTTGTTGTATGTTCTAAAGGAGTGGACTTTCCATACTAACATGTGTTTCAACATGTGGTTTCGTAGCCCGTGAAGGGACGATACTGTGATTTCTTTACGAAAGACAAATGATGTGAAAAGTGTTGTATTGAGTTGTTATTATCTAGTCAATACACAGAATATGCTGTGTGCTAGTTTAGGTAGAGACTGAAAATAACTTAAAACCATCATTAAAACTTCCTAAAGTTTCATATTCAACAGTGTTCTCCATAGAACGTTTTCTCCGTGTATCTCAGAATCTATTGGTATAGTCAATGAAAAACATTCGAGTGCAAATGGCAAGTAAAATACGCCATTCAGAATACATTCTACTGTTCAGAAACAAATACTTTTTATCTGCTCAGTGTTCAATGTTTAGTACACCCAGCTGCTTTCTCAATGGACATCTTATCTAAAATGGATCACATATTATAGTTAAACTAACTTACATGTTATCCGAATGTAGGTTGTTTTGAAGAGTTCAGTTTTCAATGAAATAGTGTTCTTCCTATTCCATTTTCAATTGGCTGATGTTCTGATTGTCTTTCTACGTTGGGGTTTTGATTTGTAAAATAATACGGCTACGTATTCAGTTTTAGTCCATCCAGGTAAGCCTTCTTTATTTACTTAAGATTAATACTATTGGTAGTTTTATTTCAAAAAGAAATGTACTTTTATTACCAACTTCCTGCTTATCACTGACCAAATGTTCAGATTTTAAGATAAACACTGTTTGAAGTCCTCATAAGAAATGTTGTTTTAAGAACTGGACTTTCAGAAGTTTAGCCCATTTAATCTACCAACTATTCTTTTATATTGCAGCGTTTCCACCAATCAGGTCAGATTATTATCTAAAGTATCTTGTAAGTTTCTCTTTACTTTAAAGTGATAAAAATTTGTTATTCATGCGAAAAAAAGTACACATTCTGAAAAATAATTAAAACTGCGGCAAAAGACTTTCGGCTGTTGCCTCTCTGCACTACTTTTTATATATAGTTCTTTGACTGGTCTTTATAGCTTTTTAATAGTTAAAACCTTAAAAAAAACAGTTTAGTTGGTCTGTAGTTCCATGACTGAGTTGTTCAATTTTTCCATATATTTACAGGAATGTAAGCTATAGATTTAGATTTAAAGATATTTCTTAATGCACATCTAATTTAATTTGAATCTAAGTCAATCAAATTAATCTTACATCGTGAAACTTCTGTTGTTTTTCATAAAGAATTTAGTTCGGGGCCCTCATATTTTCTCCGGATACATATATAAGTTTATTTTACTAAATACAAATACGATATTACAGCTTCTTTTATGATGATGATGATAATGAATTTATATAGCAACTAGCAAAAACAACACTAAATTCTCACGTTATTATTTTAGCGAGAAATGATTGTTATTCTCAGGTTAATTTCAAAAACTGCCCCTAACTTTTTCCAACCTAATAATCGCTATATAAACATACGTCGCTAGTCGATCAACAATTTAACAGCAAAGACTCCGCTAATATCATCCTTATCTAGTGTTTCACTATAAATCCGATGTTCCTTGTTTAACTCTGCTGTTGAGTTGGATTTGATAAGTCGTCTGCTTGAACGCTCGTTAAAGGACTGGGAAAATACAGCCACTGAGGACTACAACTGCTACAAGAACGCGTTACAAGTGTTCTAATCATGAAGTGTTTGATTATTTCTTTTTCCACTGACAACTATGCCTCTTTTACAGTCTTTACTTTGATATTTAAGATTCTATTTTATTTCATCCTAGAAAGAACAAACTGGTTTTTCTTATTTATTACATATGTAAAGATGTGATCTTCTCTAACGTATTAATACATAAATATTCAATGCACCACCACGTTTTAAACATAGTTTTTCTAATTATATTCCACAGAAATTGGTAGCGCGTTCGCAGCTTTGACACTGCTCTTCAGCCAACCTATTTAGATACAATTCATAATATATAAAATACATATATTTCACAAAATCGAAATATATATACCACAAGTATCGAAACCCGATTTTTAACGTCGTAAGCCTACACACTTATCGCTGAGTCACTGGGGGTGGGGTAAGGATTTTTTTAAATATAATATTTCCATCTGTTTTTCTAATGATATTAGTATTGGTATTATAACCTAGATTACAGAGTTGGTATCTTAAGGTCTTATACTGAGTCATTCTTTCTTGTCTGTTTTGAGAATTTTCTTCATAATAAAGTAAACGGTTCATGTTCTTAATTTGTTTATAAACTACTATAACATTAACATTTATTACGGCTCTTCTTACACTGCTGGATGCAAAGGAGGCAATCAGAGTTTTTTGTTCTTTAATATTAACTGGGGTATACGTAATAATGACTTGTAACACTTCTGACTGATTATTAGTTTTCCCCCCATTTAATTTGGCGCAAAATATACACCTGTCAAATAGACCCTCTGGATAATTTATCTTTAATAAAATCATTTTTAATTCATTTAATCTAATAATTCTTTTTTGCTATGTTGTTAACAATCTGTACACGTATGTGTATGGGATATTTATTTTACATGTCTTGGATAGCAACTTTTAAAATCTAAATAAGTGTGGGATTTGGTCGGTTTATAAAAAAATATCAATTTCTAAGAGCCATTGTCAGGTATTTCAATCAATATATCAAAGAAATATATAGTTTTATAAGTTTTCTCAACAGTAAATTTAATGTTTGGATCTATAACATTTCAAACTTCACGAAAATTAAACCAGTTTTAACCTTCATTTCAAATGATAAAACTGTTTAATCATCAATGTATCTGAACCAATGTGGCATCGTATAAAAGCTGACACTTAACTTCTAAGAACAGCACTATTAAAATAGCATAGATAGGTACTATTTTTGTACCCATGGCGGTTCCGTTCTTCTGGTGGTGGAGATCATTATTATAGATGAATTAATCATTTTTCAGTACTAATTTTAAAGCTTCTATTAAAAATTCATTAGTAATTCTGGAATGTAAAAGCTCTAGATAACATTCACAAAAATAATCAACAGCTGCAATACCAAGTTCATGTTCAACATTAGTATATAAATATACTATATCTAGTGTAAATACCATACCAAGTTCATGTTCAGCATTAGTATACAAATATACTATATCTAGTGTAAATACAATACCAAGTTCATGTTCAGCATTAGTATACAAATATACTATACCTAGTGTAAATACAATACCAAGTTCATGTTCAGCATTAGTATACAAATATACTATATCTAATGTAATTACAATGTTCTGTTCGTGCTCAACATTAATACATAAAGACATTACATCTAATGTAATTACAGTTCCAAGTTCTTGTTCATTATTAGGTATAAAGATATTACACCTAGTGTAATCAAACTGGTGTTCTGACCAGTTTCACTAGGCAACTTTGATATAAGGTCTAAATTATCCCTCACGTAACTGTAAATTTTTATAATAAATGGTTTTAATAGTTCATCTACAAAATAAATAATGCGGTGATTAGAATATTGACGCCTTGGAATAATAGATTTACTAAGGAAACAAGAAGGTTCAACAAGTTGTACGTAATTATTATTTAAATCGAAACAGCATTAATTATATCTTGGCATTCATGTGTTTTTCGTAAATCATAAAATACATTTGTAATCAGAGTAAAATTATCTGAATAATCTCCATGTTTTTGCTTTGTTTTTTTTCATTTTGCTTTAGTGATTATTTTATGAAAAATCATTTTATAAAATAAATTGGAAGTACTTTGAATCTTATTTAAATAACTTATGGCTTTCTTATGTTTTGAAATTGTGTATTATTATTATTATTTACAAGTTTTAGATATTTATGTATTCTGTGTAATATATATATATATTCATTAGTTATAATATTTTTTTAGAATATTTTGCCGTGACGTTTATGTTTATATATACATATTTCGACTTTGTTAAAGATTATGTGTATTATTATTATTATTTACAAGTTTTAGATATTTATGTATTTTGTGTAATGTATATATATTCATTAGTTATAATATTTTTCTTAGAATATTTTGCCGTGACGTTTATGTTTATATATACATATTTCGACTTTGTTAAAGATTATGTGTATTATTATGTATTGTTGAAGCTGCGAAAGCTCTACCAACTCATTCAGAACATAAGTAAAAATGGGCGATATTTCAAGCCTAGTAGTGCTTTGAATATCTGTATATATGTATCACATTCGACAGTGTCGCCTTATATACAGAAATTATAATTTAAAAGACAATAGTCGAGAATACTGTTATTGTATTTTATAATGTTCTAGTCTAGAACGTCAACTAAGTTTAATACCATTTTCAGTTGTTCATTAAATGCAGACCCCACAGTCAGTATATATATATCGAAAGTTACATGGTAACGATATTTGTTAAAATGTAGGCGAGAGTGGTTACTTATAACGAATCTTTTAATTTTAAAAACATGTTCATACTTAATTCTAAGACAAACAGTTTTCATTCATTCGATTAATTGAACGTTCATAGTTTGCTCTAACTTGAAAGATGGAGAAGTTAGAAATGATTTTTATAAAGCCAACTAAGTTTACGTATAAATTATTGTCACAACAGCTGCATCTGTTCGGATACTTTTCAGGACAAGCAGAAACGCAGAACAAATTGCAGTGGAAAAAATAATATTAACTGTTGTTCAAAAATAGTGTTAAATATTATATTAACAACTGCTTTGTTTTGAAGTATTTTCTAAACCGGCGAAGAGTGATTATAATTAATCAGACTTCTCATAAGACATTAGTATTAGGCCTATTATATTCTTAACTCTACATTCTTTATTCAGTCCCTTAGGGTTTTTCAAAGAGAAGAAGAACAGTTTCTGATAGTTTTTCAATCATACTATGTTCTCCATGTCGATTGGAAACAATACGTTTCGCTCAAAATAAAGCTCATCGGGCTGGCTGGAACGCAACAAACACAGTTGTTATGGTTTGAACGTTTTTTCTTAGCTGGCGAAGTGTGGTTATATTATTTATACTTGTCATAATACATCAGTATTAGAACTATTATGTTTTTAACACCTCATTCTTTATTTAGTTTCTTAGATTTTTTCAAGAAGAAGAAGAGTGTATAATGTAGTATTTCAACTACTCTATGTCTACCATATCAGTACGTAGCTCATCAGGCTGGTTGGGAAAACCCTGAGGGACTGAATAAAGAATGCGGTGTTAAAATATATATATATTGCGCTTGATATTAATGTCTTATGACAAGTTTAATTAATTATAATCATGCTTCGCCAACTTAAAAGAGGCGTTCGTATTATAGCTATTGTTTTTTGTTACAAATGGAGTATATAAATAATGGTTGTCCCAGCTGGCCTGGTGAGTTCTGTATTGAGCGAAACGCTTAGTCTGCAAAGGATAATGACTGATAGAGTGGGGTCTAATTACTATTATACCCTTTTTCTTCTTCTTCAAAAACTTTAAGGGACTGAATAAAAAAAGTCATGTTAAAATTGTAATAGGTCTAATACTAATGTCTTATGTCAAATATGATTAAATATTATAATAATTTTTTCTCAATACAAAATTCAAACGTCATATTCAGTCTTGACAGGAGTGTACGGTATATGTCCAATGCGCGAACTTTAACTCCCCATCAAGCTGTCTTTATCCAACAAAAAAAGTTAAATGCACAAAAACTCGACTTTTGAATGATCCGCCACTTCAAAAAGATTTTTATTCTAAAAACGTTGAACCAGAGTAAGTTGAAACCCCTGTTAAAGATTGATATGACTTCGATCTCTGAGGGGCATATACGTTCCTTGTCGTTGGATTGATCGTCGCTGAACACAGCTTTCCATACAAACTAGTGACATTCGCGGAAGTATGGTGCTTGTTTTCTATTCTCTAAGCACAGAGGTTTGAACAAAAGAAAATGTCCCGTAAACAGTAGTATTTTATATAAACATAATATAGCCGATCTATCAAAATATTAGAATAGCACGTAAAGAGTAGTATTTTATATAAACATAAAATAACCCGTAAAGAGTAGTATTTTATATAAACATAAAATAACACGTAAAGAGTGGTATTTTATATAAACATAAAATAGCACGTAAAGAGTAGTATTTTATATAAACATAACATAGCCGATCTATCAAAATATTAGAATATTCTAATATTTTGATAGATCGGCTATGTTATGTTTATATAAAATACTACTCTTTACGTGCATGTTTATATAAAATACTACTCTTTACGTGTTATTTTATGTTTATATAAAATACTACTCTTTACGTGCCACTATAGCCAATCTGTCAAAATATTAAAACCAATTTACCGTTTCAGGTTGTGGCGTATAATTGGCCAACTAAGCCTGCTGTACTCGTCATGACAAACTGCTTTATGGTTCTAAAAGGATATGACGAAGAAGAAAAAGTTGATATTAGTCCTGTGTTGTTTTATCTGATGTTTTATTCTGACCGCAATGTCATCCTCGGTAACCTGCATATATTTGATAAATAAAGAACGAATAAAGAGAAATGGAATATATCCGGATATTTTGTGTGTGATACAATAGTAGATCGATAGACAGAATATTCATTTATGCTAACTCTAACATGAGAGTTACTTTATGAATCATTCTCAGATTGCGGCAAAATAGTGTTTCGGAAAACATATGTCAAAATTATTTTCATCTTTTTTACACCTTAAGAAGCGTAACACAATATCAAGAATAGTAGAATGATAACAACCCTAGAATAAGTCACTTAATATATATATCATTATATTTTATAGTAAGTTCCTTTAACGAAAGTGCAAGTGTTTTACTTACAATAGTAAAACAGTCCTTTTATATGTTGAATTCTGTCTCAATATAAAAATACAATTAGTTATTTAAAAACAAAAATTCTAACTCTGCTTAAAAACAACTAAAATTCCTGAAAATGTAAAACACGAAAAATATTTTCTATATTTTTTATAAAGTAATTTCTTTGGAGAATGAACTAATTCGAAATTATGAGAATTTACAAGTATATACAAGTTGGTTAAAAATTTCCTTCAGTGTTCTTATTTTCTGCAAATAGTGACATTTCAGAATAGATAAAAAACTACATAACTTAGTTATCACTCTCTTCTATTCTTGGTGTTGATTTGAGCTTTTAAAACTTTGCATGTTTTACTTCATTTCGAAAAGTATTAATTTTGAACATGAAGTATTAGGCTTCATAATTTATATCCACTTTTAATGTGAATTGAATGTTGAATTACGTTAGCCCTAAATATAACTTGGAGTTTAAATGTTCTTGTTGTCTACACTAGTGAAAAAATGTGTTGAAATTATGTATATTTTAGCTGATTTACCTAAGCTTTATTTACAAACTGCACTTGCACCAACCAGAACACAATAGTTTACAGTTCATTTCAAAACGGTAACAGAGAAATCTAAAAAAAAATAAAAAATACTGTTAAGCAAAGGAGATAAGTTAGGTTGTAAATTTTTTATGTGATTCAGAACCCCGTTGTAAACACTGATGGTCAGTTGTGAGTCAGTAAGTAGCTTTAGTGCAAAAACATCTGGCTTGCTAAGTTAATGAATATACTAATATTTATTTTCAAAGTCTGTTCGCGATACCCTTTCACACATTCTGATGACCCAATTTTGGGTAGCAAACCCATGGATTAAGAGGTGCTGTCCTAGGCTGTGCATATAAGTAAAATGGCATTCGCTTCACTAAGGGTCTTGCATGACCTGGTGGTTGGAGAGCTCGACTTGCAATCTGTGGGTCGCGGATTCGAATCTCCATTACCGAACATATTCGTCCTTTTAGCAGTGGGGGCGTTATAAGTGACGGTTAATCCTACTATTCGTTGGTAAAGGAGTAGTCCAAGAGTTGGCGATTGGTGGTGTTGACTAGCTGCCTTCCCTCTAGTTTATTACTTCTAAATTATAGACATCTAGCGCAAATAGCCCTCGAATAGCTTCGCGCGAAATTCAAAAACAAACAAAAGCTTCACCAAGATTTGAGTCAACTGCCAATAAACTTCAATTTCATGTATGTTATAATTTTGTAGAGAAGACTGTAGAGGCTTTGAATCTTCTCTGTATTACATCTCCCTGTAATTTTTTGATGGATCTCATTAGAAATCATCGTAGAAAACTTAGCTGCCACTAAAACTCCATATAGATGCATTTCACAAAGCTAAAAAAAATGTGATTTGTCGCTACTAAAAGTCGATTTTCTTTATCATAAGCGATATTTTAGAGAATACCACAACTCACAAGCATGTTAGTCACAATTACCATTAAAGAAATCGTTAAGCCTGATGACGGCACATCATGTTATCTGAATGAGTGTTGTTTCCCTGAATTGTGTTTCAATTTAAACTAAGTAATTTAACCTACAATTAATAACAGTTCGATATCGAATAATTAAATTCATAGAAATTAGAGAAATATTATCAGTTGAAATTTTCGAAAATTAATTAAAGGGAACACATTACAATAAAAGATTCACGAAAAATTCGAATGGAAAAATACAAATTGAACAAAGTTAAAACAATAAGAGCCACAACAACACATGATAAACAGATAGGTGTGTGGTTTCGCTTTTCAGCGTTTGTTTGTTTGTTGTGAAGCTACACCGCGGTTATCAAAACTCGATTTTACTGTTATAAGTCCTCAGACTTCCCGCTGAGCAACCGGGGGGCGTTTAACGTATGATGTAGTTCAATGTAAACCAATTCTAGCTTGCAGAATATCTCGTTTTGTGTACGATCCCTCACTAACGTTTTTTTTTCTTTAATCTTCAGGGATGAATTTGTTAAACCAGCAGTTTGTTAACTTCTTTGTTTATTGAATTTCACGCCAAGCTGCAAGAGGGCTACCTGCTCTAGCCGTTTATAATTCTGAAGTGATATACTAGAGGGGAAAACAACTAGTGAACACCACCCACCGCCAACTATTTTACTTGCGAATAGTGAGATTGATCGTTCACCTTATAACGCTCCCACAGCTGGATGGACGAGCATGTTCGATGACAGGATTCGAACCCGCGACCCCCAGATTACGAGTCGAGTACCCTAACCACCAGGCAACGCCTGGCCTTAAACCAGCAGAGGAGCTGTTTGTTTGTTTTGCGCAAACCTCACAAGGAGCTAATTGCGCATACCTGTCCCTACGTTTGATCTGATAGACTACAGGGAAAATAATTAGTCAACAGTACCCGCCGCCAACTGCTTAGCCACTCTTATATATTAATTTCATCGTCAGGTCAAGTCCCACTATTTGGTCAGACAAAAGTTGGCCGTGATGCTGTTAACGAACGAAACCACAGCTAAAAAGACCGGAGCGCGTTTTTGTTGCAATGGGTCACAGAGCATGAACTCAGATTCACAGTTACACTATTATATAATATATTACATTCAACCCCAGCAGGAAGATTATATATAAAAGAACAGATAAGTGAGCCACAATTTGGCGTTCACTTCTTGTTGTTTTCTGTTTTACACAATGATGTTAATATCATGACGGTGTTTCCATTTTGTTTCCACATTATGTAAGAAATAAAGTTAAAATAATATATATATGTATAAAACTGGTGTAAAAGCTAAATATAATCCATCTGGGTTAATTTTCCTACTGTAGGTCCATATACATCTTCATTTTACTCCCTTGGCTGAGGAAAGGTGGTATAATTCAAATTTACAAACCTCAATTCATCATGAACGATGGACGTTTTTGAATCACTATGCGACAATTGGATTATGGCCGAAAATGTCTTTAACACTGAGGATACTCAGCTGATGAAACAAGACTTTCTAATGTTTATAAGTAAAAACGTAAGAACGGTATTTTAAATTAGTTATGCTCATTTTCTGGTTGATTTTTAGTTACGATCTATGTACGTAGCTTGCTTTGATCAGAAGATACTATCAAACAAAACTAACCCTCCATTCGACAGAACTTCATTGACTAATGAAAGGTATTATGATTCAAAATTAAACATCTAATTTATTCATGAATGGACGTGTAACTTTTTCTCTAAGAACTCTTTCACTGAATACAGTTAATTTTAGTTCTAGAAATGTTTTGTTGATTTCTGACCAATATAGTTAATTTTTCGTGGTTGGTTGCGAGACTAAAAAGAGACTCCAGAAGTAAAAGGGAAATATGTTTGCAAGCAAAAGCTGTGAAAGAGTCGTTAAAATGAATAGAATTCAACAAATGAGAGACGTTGTTCTAAAGAACGAGTAGTAATAAATTATCAGTACTATCATGAAAAAGGATATATCGTAACCAAACTTTATAACAATACATCGACTTTACACAAGGTTGAAACTGAACAGTTGGAGAGATATTTAGAAGGTTTATGATAGTACATCACTAGACTAAAAAGGATATATCGTAACCAAACTTTATAACATTACATGAACTTTATGAATCTTACAAGGTTGATACTGAACAGTTGGAGAGATATTTATCATCGCGTTTATCAAAATAAACTTTACAAAACATTACGAAATTCAAATTATTTTGAATCTTTTGTTTACCTTTTCAGTTCCTTTATAACACCAAGTGAATTGAAAAACAATATAGCAAACAAGAAATTATTAAATAATCTTTTATAAAAATGTATTCTTAACAAATCTTGTTGTTCTTTGAAGGTAAGTACAATGATACAAAATGGGCTATCTGTGCTCTGCCCACCACGGGTATCAAAACCCGGTTTCTAGAGTTGTAAGTCCGCAGACTCACCGCTGTGCCACTGGGGCACCGTGTTGTTCTGCCACCATTTGTAACGATGATTAACGGCCAAACTAATTAAAATTTGTGACACTACTATCATCGTATGAAAGTTAAAAGGTGAATTATAATGCTCGTTTAGATGATATAACTTGCAGCAAAGTTGTTAAAACACATCATATTTATTTCTTTTTTTAATGTTCAGAGTTTTCGGAAAATTAAAATTTTTCTTCATTATTTCGATTTCGAAAAATTTCGCACTGCCTTCAAATCTGGGGTCTGTGAGTCAATAATGCTGAATCAGCGAAGCAGAAAGACAACTCCTGTACTAGCAATGATAAATGAGGTAATTAGATAAAACCGATTACAACGGGAGCTTTGTTGTTGGAGATTGGAAGGAGAAGACTGGGGAAAATTCATAGAGCGTAAAAAACTCCAACTTATTCGGGTTATTGAAAACAAATATAATAACAGCCAATATATATATATATATTAATATGAAAGATCACTTAAAACATTATTTAAATGAAAGTTCACTTGATGTTTTCCTAGTATGAGAATTTTCCAAAATGTAGTTGTTGTTGTTGTTCTGTTTTCAAATCTGATAAAAACTCTTTTTTTAATCAGCAAAACTACGTATACTAATATTCACTCTTTGAGAAAAGTAACAAAATTTTCTTGTAACGTGATATAAGCCTTGAGTAATTCTCTCAGTATATAACAGACTATTTTTGATCATTGCTTGAGCTTAAACATTTTTGAAGCGACACATTCTCTGTCTGTAGAA